TGCTCCTGTACGTGTACCAGAACACAAACAAGCTCAGGCTAATATCCAGCATGCACTGACACGTAGGTGCATTTTTGTATGCCTGCGCGCATTGGCGCTAATGTCTTCGCGCATTGGCGCCAAGCTGCTTATTTAAAGGAGACTCTGCTGTGTACTAATCGCTGGATGTTCTTTAGCTTCCTGTGATCCGTGTTCCTGTGTTCCTGTTTGTAATGACTGATCTTCCATTGCTGACCCGGCTTGTTCCTGACCTTGCTATGTGGATTCTGGATTCTGACCTTGGCTTGCCTTAAACTACTCTCTGCCTGATCTCCTGGTGCTAACCTCGGCCTGCCTAAGACTACTCTCTACCTGATCTCCTGGTGCTAACCTTGGCTTGCCTCTGACTATTCTCTGTCTGATCTCCTGGTGCTGACCTCGGCTTGCCTCTGACTCTTCTCTGCCTGATCTCCTAGTGCTGACCTTGGCTTGCCTCTGACTCTTCTCTGCCTGATCTCCTAGTGCTGACCTTGGCTTGCCTTTGACTCTCCTCTGCCTGATGTCCTAGTGCTGACCTCGGCTTGTCTCTGGACCTTGCTCTGTCTGCTAATCTGATACCCACCCCAGCCTGCCTCCTGATCATGTTGCTGTCTCACTGTGTATGATCCTGGTTCACCTTGACTACATCCCTGATCGTGGCAGTCACCTGCTATCAAGCTACCGGCACCCGTGCTTCTTTGAGCCCCGCTTTCTCCAAACACATGGATCCTTATGTAGAACGCCCTGCAATCAGCCTGTCATCTTAAAGCCCCAGTATATCCTGTGGAGGACTGAATACCAATGTGCATATCCCGGCAGGAACACTACAATTCTGTTTCCAACAAGCCACAACACATCCTAATTTAAGGCTTGATTCCACTGCTTATGGCTCCACCACCATCTGAGGGGCATGCTCCATTTATATCCTGCAATAATTCATGAGTTATGGTCCTGGTGCCCATTGGGGCTGTCCACAACACGCTGTCTCAAACTGATATATGCTACAAGGGCAGTGGCTGCATATGGACACTGTGGGAACTAGCATCAAGGGTAGAGCTTTAACAACACACAGCCATTCGCTTTCTTCTTTTTAAGGGCTGTTTTTTGCCCAATTTTATTTAAAAGAACGTTCCATATAACATGTTTCCATCGCAGGGGTATCCACCATCAATACAAATGAAAATATTCCACCTCCTCACTCTCTTTAGCAGCACTGCTGCTCAGGCTTCATGCCTCTGTCCTCTTGACCCTTCACATACACCCCACTGCACCTGAGTTAGCACCCTTTCTCAGCACTCCTGCTTCTCCAGCCCACAGGGTTGGGCCCTGTCTGCTCTCGGACTTCTCTGTGCCACCATGCACACTTGTGGCTGCTGCCTTGCACCCACATGGACTCCTTGGGAGGGTGGAGCCCAGAACCCTGGTCCTGACTCTAGAAGAGAGCCACACACACCTGACCAATCAGTCTCCTGGCCATTCCCAAAACCTGGTCCCAGGATTGGAGATTTCATCCCTCCCAAATCACTTTGAAATCTCCAGGCTCCGTGTCCCAAAATGGACTTTACAAACAAATGAGGAAAGTGAAAAGCCACTTTCCTCTGCCTCAAACAAGTACCCTGGAGCCCCTCAACCTGCCTTGTTGAGAATCCCAGCTCTCACTTACAGGGGTCCAATCCGGTCTCACCATACCTTTCCTAAAGGGGAACTCTACCCATTGACTCCTTTGGTGTCTCTCCCCAAGCCCCATTGTCACTCTGCTATGGGCTCTAATCAGATCTTCCCCACTCTTTTTCTGGCTGCATTTCCATAAACACTTGCTTTCCTGAAATCTTAACGGGGTCCCTTGGTTTTTCTATCAACCTTTGTTGAGAATCCCAGGTGAACATATCCTTTCTATATCGTGACAGATCGCCACACTGTCACAACACTTACTGGTGGATTTACCTTATGGTTGACCCCTGATTATTATGTCTATACCTTAGGTTTACTTAGCCTGCCCTGTCTACTTAGCTATCCTGTGGTCTAATCCTAACCCACACAGGCTGGGGCACCAATGCCCATACGATGTTCTGCATCAACACCATGCAATAATCAGTCCATTATGCAATAATCAGTCCACACTGACTGCCTGTTCCTGAGACTGATGGCCTGTTGACGTTATATGTACCACGAGATCCAGTGTATGAATGGCAGCGTGGGTGAGCGGAACCCTGCCTTGTAACTTAGGGTGATAATGTTATCAAGCCTTATTTTAATGGTGATTGGAGGATTGTTGGTCATTTGACCTAATTGTACACAAATTTTTGATCTGAATAAAGCTGTATGGTTTGGTTACACCTCAGTTGGCTCTCCTTTAAAGCCTCTTTTAAGGGTGGCCTTCTCGGTCCCCTACATGTTTTTTTTACCTACTATGACCATGGTTTTGGAGTACCCCGCTGTAAAATATATGGTGAGTCGGTGACCTATGACCAGTAACTGTATGTTGAGATTTCCCCTAAGGAGGATATATACCTTTGTATAGCAAGCCTTTTATCTCTTCTTTGAGCCTTGTGCTTTTGTCACCACATTCAGGGGTGCTTGGACCACAGCCGCAAGGGAGGCCCTCTCGTCAACTCAGCCTTCAACCAAGGTACATGACAACATCCGTAGACAGGCAAATATATTCGCTTGATTATACATATATCAAGATAACAGCATTGACAATACTAGGCTAGAGGATCAGAGCCGCAGCCACTACATAGTAGGGGGACTGCACCTTAAATTATGTATAGGTTTAAAAGGAAGCAGATGGTATGTACCCTTTAAGAAAAAAGTGGAAAGGGAAATATGGATGTATCATATAATGGTCTGCATATGTAGATAAAGGGATTTTCAAGTTCAATTTCATGGTAAGTATTCAACTTTGGAGGAGAAGGGCTAGTTTAGATCAAGGCAAAGGAGAAAAAAGGCAAAACTCTGTCTTAAAGTGCACTTTGTCTTTAAGGCTGTGTATAACATGCAAGGTCACCAGATACAAACTAGTATTTTTGCATAAAGACATTATATAAAAGAGACCACTTGATGATCAGGTCATACATTCAAAGGTAGCTGCCGCCTAATGTTTGCAGGAAGCTTTTGAAATGAAATGTATAAAAGACTTTTTCTAATAGCTCATCCCAGGCAGGCATGGCATGAAAAAAGTGATTATTACACTTCACTGTACACTTCCTTTGATTGCTCACTGATAAGAACTATCTTCTGGGTTGTGATGGAATATTCATGAGTATTTGTGGGAACACGCTTTTCTTTGCTACTGTCAGACTTGTTCCTCAGAAACCCACTGTGACATCAGAGATATGTCAGGCATGTTGGAACTTGATTGAAAGAAAATGCATAGGGTCACGCTGGGGCTAATCCATGAACACAGATGAGAAGAAAATAGAAACACAAGCAAGCCAGCCATTCAGGTTTCAGTTTTTATTCACTGTAAAAAATGATAGATTTGGGCTGCTATTAGCAACACCTTTATTTTTATTTCCGAACGGACCTGTGTACAAGGGTTAATGTTTGATGCAGATCTACTCTTCTCCCCATACAAGTCAAGAAGAATGTGAAAAGAGCTAGATGCAGCTTAGAAGGTCAAAAGCAGGTCTGAAAGAGGTCAACTGTGGGCTTGGATCCCTGTTGGAATGGTCTCCTGCTGGGAGGCAAATATCCAGACATAGGTGCTCTCTCTTTAACTCCCCTGTTGCCAAGAGGAAAATATTTCCTGGGCAGTCCAACAAAAATCATCCCTCCATAACACCTACTGCACAGTGACTTCCATGGTCTGGCATCCATTGGTCCCACTACATGGCTGCCATCCCAAACCACAACTCCCAGGATTCCTAGTGTCCTGCACAGATGTCCATAGACTTGCCAGCATCAGCATTCCCCCTGCTGGATGGACGAGAATGGCGCAGCACAGCGCCAGAATCTCAGTAGAGGGAGAGAAGAACAAAAAGCAATTTCTCTCCATACTGTTGCAATCCAGCAAGTTGTTGCAACCAGATCACAATATCCTCCCCATAACATTCCTTTTTCTTTGGGTTAAAGGATGTTAACCAAGAGATGGTCGACTACAGATGCCATTTCTTCCAATCAGTGTGCAAGCTGCGTTTCAGCTCAGGAAGGGGTTGGGGATCACACTTTGGCATTTTTACCGAGGGTGGCAGAGGACCTTTTTACTTCATTGTCCACTTTATAAATTACAGTACAACTAAAGTCCCCTGTATGACAATCTAAAAGGATCAAATCCAGTTACTTTATGATGCACAGGCCTTATAATATAAAAACAAATGTTCCTTTACCTCCTTCATTTGTGTCTCACACATTCCCCCTCCCAGACACTGCATCTCACAGTGGGAGGGTTTATCAACAGAGGTGGTGCTTGCCACTCCAGACAGAGGTGGGCAGGACTAGGTGTGGCCAGGTGATGATTGACAAGCTACAGGCCCTTTAATAAGCACTGACAATGCTGATAGTCACACCCAATTCAATGTCTTCTCATTCCACTGTAGTGAAAGCAGGCACAACATACCTGAGAGTGACAACTCTGCTCTGAATTCAGGTGGTGCTCTGAATTTAGCCAGTGGTGTATTTTGGTTTTGAGCTGCTGCCCTAGGCAAGACTAACATTGGGCCCAGGGCCCCCCACCCCCACCCACATCTAAATGTGTCCCACCCCTTCCTGTTTAAGATCCACCCCTTCATCTGTAAACTCTATCCCTTCCTCTTTAGGCTACACCTCTTCCTATAAGTGCTCCACCTCAGGAGTTGGTGAGAGATTACAGACATGATACAGGAGATGGTCAGAGACTGCAGACAGGATACAAGAGATGGTCAGAGACTGTGGAAAGGATACAGGAGACGGTCAGAGACTGTGGACATGATACAGGAGATGGTCAGAGACTGCGGATAGGATACAGGAGATGGTCAGAGACTGCAGATAGGATACAGGAGATGGTCAGAGACTGCAGATAGGATACAGGAGATGGTCAGAGACTGAGGATAGGATACAGGAGATGGTCAGAGAATGTGGACAGGATACAGGAGATGGTCAGAGAATGCGGAAAGGATACAGAATATGACCAGAAATTGCAGACATGATACAGGAGATGGTCAGACACTGCAGACGGTACAGGAGATGGTCCAGAGACTGTGGACAGGATACAGGAGATGGTTACAGACTGCGGACAAGATACAGGAGATGGTCAGAGACTGTAGACATGATACAAGAGATGATCAGAGACTGTGGACATGATACAAGAGATGATCAGAGACTGTGGAAAGGATACAGGAGACGGTCAGAGACTGTGGACATGATACAGGAGATGGTCAGAGACTGCAGATAGGATATAGGAGATGGTCTGTGACTGCGGATAGGATACAGGAGATGGTCAGAGATTGCGGATAGGATACAGGAGATGGTCAGAGAATGCGGAAAGGATACAGAATATGACCAGAAATTGCAGACATGATACAGGAGATGGTCAGACACTGCAGACAGGGTACAGGAGATGGTCAGAGACTGCGGACAGGATACAGGAGATGGTTACAGACTGCGGACAGGATACAGGAGATGGTTACAGACTGCGGACAGGATACAGGAGATGGTTACAGACTGCGGACAGGATACAGGAGATGGTTACAGACTGCGGACAGGATACAAGAGATGGTTACAGACTGGGACAGGATATAGGAGATGGTTACAGACTGCGGACAGGATACAGGAGATGGTCAGAGACTGTGGACAGGATACAGGAGATGGTCAGAGACTGTGGACAGGATACAGGAGATGGTCAGAGACTGTGGACAGGATACAGGAGATGGTCAGAGACTGTGGACAGGATACAGGAGATGGTTACAGACTGTGGACAGGATACAGGAGATGGTCAGAGACTGTGGACAGGATACAGGAGATGGTCAGAGACTGTGGACAGGATACAGGAGATGGTCAGAGACTGTGGACAGGATACAGGAGATGATCAGAGACTGTGGACAGGATACAGGAGATGATCAGAGACTGTGGACAGGATACAGGAGATGGTTACAGACTGCGGACAGGATACAGAAGATGGTTACAGACTGTGGACATGACTCCCCAGTAATGACAATTCATGGTCATCATAGGGAGTAGATTCTCCTGTAATGCTTTCAATTTGCCCACCTCTCTGTATAGTAGATGATTTGATAGAAGTCACACATCACAGTGGAGTCCAAGGACAGCAGCACCCTGCCCCAGGGGCTCCCAGCACTCCCGCCTCCGCAGGCAGTCCTGGCTGTTGCTGTGATTCATAAAAGGCTCCAAGCAGCATCATTACATCACTGCAGGATCACCCTCCCCCCCCATTTCCAAGCCCAGCCCAGATGAGACTGCCCCCCACCTGAGACCACCTGAGCCCACCCGATACAGTCCACCTCTGGTGGGGGGGGGGGTACGTGGGGAGCAAGGTATAACCTTTCCCCCCTATAGCAACGCCCCCCCCCCCCCCCCCCCCAACCAACCCCCCCCCCCCCCCCCCCCCCGAAAAATGATGCCGCTCAAGGCAGACGCCTTATTGTCACCCCATCACAGGAAGTTGCTTTAGATAGATTTCACTGTAAGGGTCAACAGGTTTTTGAGGACTAAGAGAAAATTGTACAAATGAAATTCTAAGCAAGTGCTACAACATATCATTTTCATTTGATAGGAGATCACAGTTCTACTTTGAAGTCTAACTTCTAAACTTTCCCTTACAGTGGGGCTTAATCTAGGGGAGAGTAAAAGCACTTTACTTACCCAGTCTTCTGCTCCCCAGCAGATGTTGTTACCCCATACTCTGGCAGTTGACTGTCCCTAGGTGTGCAATGCAGGGCTATGATTCCTGCATCATTCTTCATGGTGTTAGGACCTTAGAGCACAGCAGCATGAAGATGCCGCAGGGACTGGTCTAGCAGCTCAGAGGACTGCGTAAATAAATTTGATTTTTTATGCCCCCTAGACCTGAACAAGTAGTTATTCTTGAAGTGTGGGCAGGAGAGTTTTTAGGTATGGTTTTACAAATACACTATAGTATTTTTGTCCTTTTTTTTGTCTTGAAAAGTTGTGTCTGCCAATCATTACCCAGCATACTTTCAGAATTTTTTTTTTTTTTTTTGCAGAACAGACTCTGTTTAGCAACTGAGAGCATTCTGATATTGACACGCTAGTCATATTAATTCTGCCAGTTTGCATACACTTGCTGAGTAAACACAACTGTCTGTATGAATTAGAAAAGTGTCACCTGGTTTTCCTGCAGCTCTCAGGCTCCCTCCCTAAAGTCTGTCACTGTTGGGTGCACGCCAAAAACCGAAAACCATTTCTGGGGCACATTGCAGATGGGCAGCTGTTTACTGACCACACATCAACAACATGACCTTGGCACGCAGGGTGTCCCAATACAATCCCGATCAACTCTATATAAATGTAGATGACTGTGCCCTCCAACATGACCTGTCCTCTTCATAATGAGGACAGGTCTCATCTCTTAACCTCCCTGGCGGTATGATTATTTCAGATTTTTGGTGCTGAAAGCGGTACCATTATTTTGCATGGAAATATGTAGATTTTTTATTGTAGGCCTGTAATTTTTAGGAATAACTCACTGAAATCTGTCCGAACGAGAGTCTAGTAAACATTCCGGGTATGATAAAACTTGAAATACGAAATCATAAATTATAATTTAATAAATAATCATAAAAAATAATAATATAAAAATAAATTTAATTCAATAATATAATCAAACCAAAAACACTGAAATTTGAAATAGAGCGCCAAGTTCACACATCGCTGAGCAAAGTCGCAAAATCGTTTTCAGTGTCTGATGACGAATTTCCCCACAAATCATTATCAATCAATTCTGCAAGTGGTTCTAATTTACTATCGCTGTTCTCTAGCTGGTCTAAAACTGCTTTTGACCTAAAGGGACGCTTTTTGGATGCCATGGACTTTTCTAAGTTTCCAGGCAGAAAGAACAATGAAAATGCAGGCAGGGCACAGGACAAAAAACTCGGGACAAAATGTATGTGAAATGGTTTGATACAGTAATGTTTTGCTATGTAATATTCCTTTACAAAAAAATGACAGTTTTTTAAAAAAATTTTAATTTGCCGCCGGTTCTGGCCCCCGTACGTCCCGACGTCACAGGGACCGGAACACGGAAGCCGGATGCCGGCATCGGCCGGAGGAGATGGCCGGGGACGCTGCAGGAGGGACATCGCAGGAGCGAAGGACAAGGTAAGCTTTGCAGGGAATCCCTGAGCAACGCCGCATGGTAAGCCCGAGTGTAGCTCGGGGATACCGCTTTTGGTACTGAAATTTCACCCTGAGCTACACTCGGGAATACCGCCAGGGAGGTTAATGATGAAATAAAGTGGTTCTAAATTCAAGATATTTATTACCTTAATGCATTTGCTGCATTCATGTAAAAATGTCCCAGTAGTTGTATGCCCCCCCCCCCCAACTCACTCAATAAACAATTACCTGATTCCTCTCTCGATCCAGCGCTGTGCCTATCTACAGCAGCACTGCTCTCTTTCCCTGTTTTCTTCTCACAGGTCTCAGAGGGCGCAGTAGGAGCCATTGGCTCCTGCTGTTGTCAATCAAACCCTGAGAAGAGAGCAGGAGGGGCTGTGCCACACTGTGTGTGTCTATGGATGCACACAGCCCAGCTCAGGAGCGTACCCGCATGAGTGCCCCCTCAGCACACTATTTGCTGAGGAGGCACTCGGAGAAGAGAAGGTCTGCAGGGGACCTCCAGAAGAGGAGGTAAAGAGACGCTCTGTGCAATGCCATTGCACAGAGAAGGTAAGTATAAACTTTTTGAACCACTTTAATGAATACAGAGCAGCTTTAAAGCAGTATCAAACCCCAAAGTAAATATTTATTATATTGCAGTTTACCCCTTCTTAAATGCGATGGCTGTGTTAGTTTCTTGTTTTAGCTTTCTTCTGTTTTAATCTGGTGGTCCAGCCAGTAAGTCTGTTGTTTTTAGCAGAAAAGCTATCTTGCAGTTACAGAGATGACACAAACCATTTAACACTGGCAGGGGTGCTGAAAATGTTCAGCTTTCATTTATGTAAAACCTTTATCCCCCCAAAAAAACTGTTTGCTCTAACTGATTATAATGTATTAGCTTGAGTTTGGCTTCAATTTGTTAGTGCATCTAAATCTGCTAGTACATCTAACACTCCCCTCCCCCCCATACTGACAATGCTGCTGCCCAAATCTGCCCCCTGTGCTCCTACATCCAGAGTGTTGTCTTTATAATACACGAGGTGTGTTGCAAGAAAACGAATGCAGCCATTACAACTAATGATTGAATTCATCTTGAAGGTGAACCTGTACTCTACCTATTCCGGGTAAAGTAACAGATTTACTTAATAGTCAGCTGATACCCTCCCAGTGCTCCCCCTACTGCCCTGTTCACCCCAAAATATTTGAAAAGTGACCTATAAGAGAGTGTTTTTGCTATATTGTAACATAATTTATCAGCATTTTTTTTCAACTTTGCACTTTGTAAGTTATCAATAAAAATATATTCTAGCCATACAATGAAGAAATTAACCTTTGTAGTGTTTCTATTTTTCTCAGTTCAGAAATTTAGATAGTATGTGTTTTTTTTTTCTTCTAAGAAAAACTGTCAAAGTAAAATTGTTTTAGGTGTTTAGTTGTCCTAAGGCTATGGAACAATCACCTGAGTGTGACCTCCTGAAATAGCTGAAATAGCTGGCTGGGTGATAGAATTTATGAATTCTGAGCATTTCAGAACTGCCTGACTGCAACTTTTGTGTGGCCAATCAGGGCCTGCACTAGGGAGAAAGGGGAGAGATGTACAGTAGTCATCATCTACACACAGCAACCATCAATCAATACACAAACTTTACTTCAAAAACACAAACTCTACTGATTAAAGTACAACTGAGGTCACATGCACATTTGAGCTCAAAAACATCTGTTTTACAGGCTTTAGACTTTTTTTTTTTTGCCTCTAAACCTCTAAACGCCCCTCCATGTTAACCTATTGTATGTGTTCATGCACTCATAAGCATATACAAGAGTTTAGAGGCAAGATTGTTTAAGGGCAGAAAAAAAAATCACTTTCGCATTCTGAAGAGGAGCTTTTGGGCTGAAAACACACAAACGCACATAAACGCATATAAACACGTTTATGCACATTTGCATGTTAAAGTGTTACTAAACCCAGGAGCCTGCATTCCCTGGACATTCACTATATCTGGTCTCCCCGGACCCTGCATTCACTATATCCACTATATCTGGTCTCCCCGGACCCTGCATCCACTATATCTGGTCTCCCCGGACCCTGCATTCACTATATCTGGTCTCCCCGGACCCTGCATTCACTATATCTGGTCTCATTCCACTATATCTGATCTCCCCGGACCCTGCATTCACTATATCTGGTCTCCCCCGGACCCTGCATTCACTATATCTGGTCTCCCCAGACCCTGCATCCACTATATCTGGTCTCCCCGGACCTCACATTCACTATATCTGGTCTCCATTCACTATATGGACCCTGCATTCACTATATCTGGTCTCCCCGGACCCTGCATTCACTATATCTGGTCTCCACGGGTCCCCCGCATTCACTATATCTGGTCTCCCCGGACCCTGCATTCACTATATCTGGTCTCCCCAGACCCTGCATTCACTATATCTGGTCTCCCCAGGACCCTGCATCCACTATATCTGGTCTCCCACTGTACACAGAACATGGAAATGCAATTATTTTAGTAAATATAAACTGCTAAATACCTTTTCTCATCAGCAGTTATAGCAGTCTTGTGATTTCTAGCAGTGTCCATCAGAGCACTGGTTAAAACTTGTAGGCGGAGTTTTCATTCTGCTCTAGGAGGATGCAGGACTCCTGACCTCTGTCTGGACAGTGCTGATTGGCCTTGTGCTGATCACATGCACTCTCCCAAGAAAAAAAAAAACCTTTCTAGTCATACACACCAAACTTAGCATGTACAGAGTGACTCCACACGATATGTATTTACAGGAGATGGGGGGGGGGCACTGGAAGAAGGGGAAGATCAGAGAAGACAGGATCAGACAGCAGTGTTACACAGTGCAGAGGAATAACCCCTTAGCTTTCACAGTGAGTATAACAAGCATGCTTTACTGCATATACAGACTGATTGTACTGTTGTGGGTTTAGTAACACTTTGATGCGTTCTAATGTCCAGAATAAATTATTATTCTGGCCAACAGAATGCATTCATCGCAAACACAGGAACAGACATAAATGAGCAAGAGTCTGCATAAACGCGCTGTGTTTTTTCTGCTGTTTTTCTCCTATTAGGGGGGCAGAGAAGAGCCTCTCTGTGGCTGCACAGAGAAGCGCAGGATCTGGAGAAGGAGTTGTGTCCTCCTCTCTGCTGCCAACTGCTGAGGCAAGGTAGAGGCAGAGATGAAGGGGGTGCCACAGCTGCAGGAGAGGTGTGTGAGAGGGCCACATGCATACCTCCCAACATATTACTCATAATAATTATAAGCAGATGTCCAGAGCACTCCAACCCCCTTACACCAGATGCAAGTGTCCCCTCACCATCAGAAGAGAAAAGTTCCCCACCCTCTTTTTGCATCACAAAACACCCACTTACTTAGTGCTGCTGCCATGAAGAAGCTGAGAGCAGAGCTGAGAAGCAGAAAGCACAAGGTATGGAGGAGGACCAGAGGAGGGCTGGAGTCAGCTGGTGGAGTCTGCTGAATGCTGAGACCAGGGGAGGTAGACACAAGGGGGTGCTGCGGCTGCACAGAGAGGCTCCAGATCTGTAGGCGGAGTTCTGTCCTCCTCTCTGCTGCCAACTTTTTGGCAGGGGAGTTTTTTTTTAGCTAGAAAACAAACCCAGGACTAGTGGGTTTCTAGAGGAGTTTTTTAGCTGTAAAAACATTCTAATGCTGAAAAACGCAGTAAAAAAGGCGGTAAACGCTAAAAAAGTTAAAGCCGCAAACATGAAAAAGTGCGGCAAAACAGCACTAAACGCTAATGCAAAACGCTAAAAAACTCAAGTTTTTAATGTGACTTTACACAACTAACGTTACCAGCGTTATTAAAACGCCCCGTGTGCATGGAGCCTTAAGTATAACAAACGGCAAAACGTTTTTTTTTCTTAGTTTTGGATAGAGTGGAGATGGATTAGAAAGCCTGTTAGGTTTTTATTGCTGTCTGTGCCCCCATTAGGGAGATTCACCCTCTCTATTTATCATGTTTACCATTCTTATTGAAAGTGAAAGTAAAAGAAACTCCTAAATTTTGGATTGTCCCCAGAAAAGTAATAGAGGGGGAATTTTCCAAAGGGGACACTAGTTCTAGTGACCTGGGGGGGGTCCTTAAAGAATTCTGGTAATTTGCAGGGATTGCCTCTCACTTCCTGTTTTGGCTATGGGACAGGAAGTGAAGGTAAATCTCCAAGGGACACAGATGGCTAAAAATAAACTGACGGGTTATACCCCTCCCTTACTCTATCCAAAATAAAAAAAAAAAATTTGCCTATAGTTCTACTTTAAGTTGTTCCTAAAACCAGTAATAATCTAATGCAGATGCAATTATTTAATATGATAAATAGATACAGTGAGATATAGTCTTACAGATACAACCGACCCTTTGAGGGCAACCATAAGGCTGATGTGGCCCCGCTATTAAATTGAGTTTGATACCCCTGTGTACATGGTACACTTTCTTTAACCCAACCACAATTTGTGCCTACCACAAAAATGGCCAATTGGTTATGTTTGCCTCTCAGGCCAAATGTTCCCAGTCCTCCCCTGATCAATATACATTTATTTTTCATTCTATGCAGACTTTCGTCTTCCACATGACCTCGCCATAATATATGTAGCACCCTCTAGTGCAGTTAGATTTTTTTGTATAGTTAGAGGCTTTCTAGAAGCCTGGGTATGAGTCAGCAAGGTTTCCTTAGGTTAGGGCTAGAGGGCTTTCCAGGTCAGCCCTCTGGTACCTCCCCCTGCTCTAGAAACTTGGAGAAGTTTCTAGAAGCCAGTAGGTGGAGGTGAGGAGGGTCTGATCTGAATATTTATGGGAATCTGACCAATCCCAGGCAGGAGGCCTGGCAGTGTGGGAGATCAGTCCATAAATATGACAGAGCCAGGCCTGCAAGGGGATTCAGGTGGAAGATGGCGTGAGGAAGTGCTACTGATGTGGAGCCTGGGAGGAGACCCCGGAGAAGGAGGGTTTACCTACAGTCTGGGAGCTTGAAAGAGGGACCTTTGCTGGGGAAGAGCAGCCTGTCAGCAGAGGAAGAAGCCATCCCAGTATAAGGCCTGAAAGCCGCTTCACCTTTTAAAGCTACAGGAACAGAACAGTGTGAGTACCTCTACACCCCCTGGGCCTACAAGGGAGAGGGCAGTCAGGTGTAATACCCAACTAGTTCTCCCTGGGACAGCATTCCATCTGTCTCGGAATCCCTTGCCCTGGGGTATTCTTCATGACAGTCGGGTGGATGAGGAGATTTTCATCTGGGGTCTGAAGAGATTCATTTAAGGGGACTAAGTGCTCCTACTAAGGACTGTGTGCTGATCCATTAAGAGACAAAAAGCCATCTAAAAGGGAGGAGAAAGTCCAGGATCGAATTTCTTTCTGCTTTTTGTACATAGGAAGTTTGTCCTCCAAGCTGTTTTTTCGGTTACATTGGGCATCCCATATACCCCATCCAAGTTGTTCAACCTCTAATAAAACAACAAAATCAAGCTCATGGACTGTTTACTGACTTTGGATGCAAGAGTGGAAAATGCGTCTTGCCTGGCTGTGCAGGAAAATAGAGGGTTCCGAAACCAGCGGCTTTCAAGAGGGTAGGGCTGCATATATATTTAGAATACTCTATGCAGAAGTGGAATTCTACATTCTCCACATGACCTGACCATCAGACACCATTACACTGCAATTCTATTACTCTCTCTACAGAGGTAGAACACCATAACTCCAGAAAGATTCAATTACTGATCATAATACAAACCTAAAATACAGAAATAGAACATTGCACCTTCAACATAACCTGATCGCAGGACACCATATTACATTCTACAGAGACACAGAACGTGACCTTGCCATTAGATATAACATAATGCAATATAGTCCATACAGATTGGGGGCACAGTACCTCCACAATGACCATGATATAATTGTATTATCTCAGTATATATAGAACAAATGTGACCGCTGGACATAGTCATAGTATAACTAACATCCATTCTGGATATCATTAAGTCAAATTCTATTTACTCATTCTGAAAGTAATTGTTTAACCTTTAAAGCAAATTAGATATAAATGGTGCCTGCAGGTACCTGTGCAAGCCTTCAAATAACTTTTGTTTTCTTAGTTTTGGATAGAGTGGGGAAAGGTTAGACCCTCTGTCAAGTTTTTAATGCTGTCTGTGTCTCTTTTGGAAAGATCCACCCATTTATTTGCACTGGTAACTAATGCCACTGAGAAAGAAAATGAGGGGAATCCAAAACTTTATTAGAAAAGTCCCCAGAAAAACTGTTGATGGAAAATCCTCCAATGGGAACATGTGTTTCAGTGAAAAACTGCCTAAGAGGGGTATTCCCCTAACTTCCTGTTTTGTTTTTGGAACAGGAAGTGAAGGAAAATTTCCCCAAAGCTACACGGATGGCAAAAAATAAACTGATTTTATTATTATTATTATACAGGATTTATATAGCGCCAACAGTTTGCTCAGCGCTGATTAGCCCTTTTCTATTCTATTCAAAACTGAAAAAAGCTGCATCTCCTCTCACCAATCTTGGCAGGCGACAATTACGGTTCCACACACTTGGCGGTTAGTGGTCCATGTGTCCAGTCCTGAAGGCTCAGTCTCTCAATGCTGGATCACACACCTGCAATCCCTAGCTTTGGCTATACTCTTTAGAGCACAGGTGTCAAACACAAGGTCCGTGGGCCAAATCCAGCCCTCCAGGTCATTTCATGTGACCCTTGCACCTCTCCTGCAGGTACCCCCTTCTCTCCGCCTCCACCTTGTCACAGCAGTTGGCAGCAGAGAGGAGAATAGAGCTCATCTTCCAAATCCTGCACCTCTCAGTGCAGCTTCAGCACCCCCTCATCTCTGCCACCCCTGGTCTCAGCATTCAGCAGATTCTGGTAACTGACTCCACTCCTCCTCTGGTCCTCCTCCAGACCCTGCACTTTCTGCTTTCCACCTCTGCCCACAAAAGGGGTACACGGTGATGTTAGGGAGGCTGTGGGATTCTTGACATTCTTATATAATTTGGGTGGGGTGCTTTGGACATCTAGTCTTACAGATACAACTGGTCCTTTGAGGGCAACCATAATGCTGATATGGGCCACGATGAAATGGAGTTTGACACCCCTGCTTTAGAGTGTATGTAAACCCTAAAAATTAACTTCTCTTAATTGTTCCCTTTTTGTCAAATAAATATACCTTCAAAAGTATTTTGTTGTTATATCTATTTAATAAGTGAAAAAATACCTGCTGATTTTGCCAGAAATCTTGCAAGCGGATAGTTTCCTGTACTTTTTGCCTGTATACAAGAAGGGGGTATGAAGATGGGGAGGGCTCGAGAGGTAGG